TTTTTTTTTTTTTTTTTTTTTCTTTTGAGACTGGGTCTTGCTCTGTTGCTCAGGCTGGAGGGCTGTGGCATGATCCTAGCTCACTCACTGCAGCCTCAACTTCCTGGGCTCAAGCCATCCTCCACCTCAGCCTCCCTAGTAGCTGGGACTACAGGCACATGCCATCATGCCTGGCTAATTAAAAAAAAAAAAGTTTTTTTTTGCAGAGAAAAATAATTTCTTGGGCTTGTCCTGAAAACTGCTCTTCCAGCTGTAAGAGTTTATGAGGTAAGGCAGCCTTACAAATGAGATACTTGTTTTATAATGAAGCCTTTTCAGCATCTAGCACAGACCTAGCATCCACTATCAAGTAAGATTTCTATGTAATTAAGTCAGGTGTTGTGGCTCATGCCTGTAATCCCAGCACTTTGGGAGGCTGAGGTGGGAGAATCGCTTGAGCCCAAGACTTTGAGACCAACCTGGCTAATGTAGTGAAACTCCATCTCTACAAAAAAAAAAAAAAAAAAAGGCAGGCACGGGGGCATGTGCCTACAGTCCCAGCTACTCGAGAGGTTGAGGTGGGGGATGGCTTGAGCCTGAGAGGTTGAGGCTATCATGAGCCGAGATCATGTCAGTGCATTCCAGCCTGGGCAACAGAGTGAGACCATGTCTCATTAAAAAAAAAAAAAAAGAAAAAAAGAAGAATAAGATTTCTGTGTAATAATGGGCTTAAAAATATACTATTCCTAATGTTCTTATGCATTTAGCTCAGAAGCTAAAAACTCTTCTACGGGAATGTTATATGGCAAGACCAAAGGAAGTACTACCCTGTATCCATTTCATGGATAAAATACAGGCCCTTTCAAATGGTTGCCAGTTGGTCTGGAATTTAATAGCCTGCTCCTGGATTCTCAGTTCCCCTCTGATTAAGCTTCCCTTTAAAGCTCTGTTCCTAGAAATGAGGAACTTGAGTGAAATGCACTCGGCCCACCCATGTCTTGATTTCCTCCCTCTGAGATCTTGTTCTAGGAAAAGTGGGTTGTTATGGTGGCACTAGCAAATTCTGCCCCCTCTTTATTTAGCTCCTTTTCTGAATTCCCTCAGTCCAGGAGACATGGAAGTCTCCCCAGTCCAGGGTATGGTGGTGCAGAGCTGTGTGACTTTCTTGGGTGAGCAGCACAGAGCTTGGCCCCAGTCATGTGCTCAGTAGGCCTCTACTAGCTTGAATGCAAAAGCATCTTATTCTGAATAGCTTCTTTGTTTCACATTACAAAAGCAAAAACATCTGTAAAATCAAGGGTGCTTCAGATTTGCACTGACCATTACTGGAACTACTAGCTCCATGTGGCTACTTAATGTAAAATCATTAAAGTTAAATAAGATTAAAAATTCAGGCCGGGTATGGTGGGTCACACCTCTAGTTCCAGCACTTTGGGAGGCCGAGACAGGCAGATCACCTGAGGTTAGGAGTTCAAGACTAGCCTGGCCAACATGGAGAAACTCTGTCTCTACTAAAAATACAAAAAGTAGCTGGGCGTAGTGGTGCACGCCTGTAGTCCCAGCTACAGGAGGCTGAGGCAGGAGAATTTCTTGAACCCAGGAGGCAGAGGTTGCAGTGAGCCAAGATCTCGCCACTGCACTCCAGCCTGGGTGACTAAGACTCTGTCTCAAAAAAAAAAAAAAAAAAAAAAAAACAGAGAGATTAAAAATTCAGCTGCTCAGAGAATTGCCTGAACCCAGGAGGCGGAGGTTGCGGTGAGCCGAGATCGCGCCATTGCACTCCAGCCTGGGTAACAAGAGCGAAACTCCGTCTCAAAAAAAAATTCAGCTGCTCACTCACACTAGCCACATTTCAAGTGCTCAGCAGGCACATGCGGCTGAACTGAACAGTGACAATAAAGAGATAAAGAGCAGTTCCATCACTGCAGAGAACGCTATTGGATTGAGCTCCTCCTGAGAAGGAAGCATCACCTCCTGAATGGACAGGTGAGAGGAAAGGGAAGATTTTATAATATTTACAGTGTGTCTTTGATATGGATTAGAACAGTATGAACTATTACTAACTGAATTTCTTACCAAAAAAAACTAAGTAGCAAATATTAAGTGCACAGACATTATTACATTGAATTTTATGTAAAAGATGATTTTTATTCTTACATTTTTTAATGCTCTCTGAAGGATTTTCTTAAATGAATTTTTGAATTGTTTCATATCAAAAAGGTCAACATCTTCACCTGCCAAAGTGAAACAAAATAGAGAAAAATCAAGAGAGCTACAATGTCTTCAGTAAATACATTTACAAAGAACCCTGAAACTAAGCATTTTGTATAATTCTAGAGCAATAATGATCAAATCACACAAATGCTGCTAGTGCTTCTGACATGGCACCAAGAAATATGCTTCTCATTTTCCATAATGGTATAATAATCACCTCATTTTGAAAGAAATGACGAACATACTGCTATTCTTTTTTTTTTTTTTTTTTTTTGATATGGCATCTCGCTCTGTCACCCAGGCTAGAGTGCAGTGGTACGATCTCAGCTCACCTCTGCCTCCTGGGTCCAAGCCAAAATATCAAATACAAACATTCAATTATAAACAGAAAATATTACCTGGTCCTTTACTCATCTGAAAAACGTCCCAGATTTTCTGGTGTTGATGAAATTGAGTATCTAAGAGAGAGAAAAAAGGTTTACTACTAGCATATCATAGAACTTTGAAGTAATATGCTTATTGATATTTTTATAATATAAAACTGGGGAAAATAACAGTAATTCACAAATTGGGTTATACAGATTTGTATTCAAAACATAAACTTTATATGGATTAAATTTACTTCATACTAATAAAGCAAATCATTATTCAATCCAACCCACTAAGATGACACAGTTGAGTTTTGGTATTTATTCTGTTAGCCCATTTATTCTATTTCCACATAAGCCTGCCCCACAGAATGCCACATTAATCTGGCACAAGAGGGAATGCCATGCCCCACAGGACCCACATTTGAGTCATCTGTTCCTCTGCCTGGAGACTCTTCTCCTGGGTCCTTACACATCCCATTCCCCACCTCATTCTGCTCTCTACTCACTGTAGCCCCCACCCTCATCACCCCACCCCAAACACCCGGTGTTAGTTCCCAGTTCCAATCAGAGGACTCACCACTACCTGATGTCATATTATGTGTATATATATATATATATGTGTATGTGTGTGTGTCTGTATATATATATAGTTACTATTTTTTGAGATGGAGTTTCACTCTTGTTGCCCAGGTTGGAGTGCAATAGTATGAGCTCAGCTCACTGCAACCTCTGCCTCCTGGGTTCATGCAATTCTCCTGCCTCAGTATCTCGAGTAGTTAGGATTACAGATGCCTGCCACAACGCCCTGCTAATTTTTTGTACTTTTAGTAGAGATGGGGTTTCACCATGTTGGCAAGGCTGGTCTTGAACTCCTGACCTCAGGTGATCCACCTACCTCGGCCTCCCAAAGTGTTGGGATTACAGGCATGAGCCACCACGCCTGGCCACAATATGTATTTAGATGTTCATTTGTACACTACCTGTCTTCCCAACTAGACTCTCATGGAAGGGAGGGATCTATCACCACAGTCTACTGTTGTAGTCCCAGGTCTAAACTTAACTGTGTAGCATAAAGCAAGCACTCAGTATTTGTTTTGTTTTTCTAAAAGACAGGGTTTCACTAAGTTAACTGGATTAAACTTGAACTAGCAAGGTCAAGCGATCCTCCTGCCTCAGCCTCCCAAGTGTCGCACACCATCGCACCAGGCTTCAGTTTATGTTTGATGAACGATGCAGATGCTCTAAATTCAGCGATGGCATAGTTGGAACAAGGTATTAATAAAGATAATTTTCATTATACTTACAGAAAACAGCTAATACATAATGATTACAATTAGTAAATACCAGGTTCTATTCTAAGTATTTAACATCTTATTTAATCCTCACCATAACTTTTTGTGATATTATCACTATTATACAGTTTGGTCAAATGATAAAACCAGAGATGTTGGCATGGCACAGAGATGTTAACCAGCTTCCTCCAGGGCTCACAGGGAGGCAATAATGGAGCCATGAAATGAACCCAAGAAATCTGGCCCCAAGGCCTGTGTTCTCAGCCCCTATACTACGTTGCCTCCTGATGATAAAAACAGACATCTTGAAAAAGTACAGACAGCAAAGCTAGACAAAAATCAATGAGATGGAAGGGAGGAGAGGTGAGAAGCTGCAGTGTAATAGGAATAAATTTTCCAAAAGATATTTTCAAATGCTGTAATAATAATACAGATTCTTCTTCACTTATGATCGGGCTATGCCCGATAAATCCACCTTGAGGTGAAAATAATTCACCTACCCTTCATACATCTTAGCTTAGCCTAGCCTACCTTATAGGTGCTCAGAGCACTTACAGTAGCCTACAGTTGGGCAAAATCATCTAACATAAAGTCTTCCATCATCAAGTGTTGAATACCTAATGTAACTTATTAAATACTGTACTGAAAGTGAGAAAAGAATGGTCGTATGGGAACTCGAAGTATGGTTTCTGTTGACTGTCTGCTGCTTTCCTACTAGCATACTGCTTTCATACTAGTTGAAAAATGTTAAGTTGAGCTATTGTAAGTTGGCACCCTGAGTAATACAAAGCCTAACAAGCATTTACTTTGTGCTTACGATGTGCCAGTTACCATGCTAAGAGCTTCTCGGGCATGATCTCATCTAATCCTAACAAGAATCCTTGAAGTACATACTGTACTATTATCTCTGCTTGAAGTCTGAGGCTTAGAAAGGTGATGTAACTTGGCAAAGAACATGCAGCCAAGTGACACAGCTGGGATTTGAAACAAGGTCTCCTCGACTCTAGAATCTGAGGACTTATGTACAAAATTGTTTCTGGATCAGGTACAGCGGTTCACATCTGTAATCCCAGCACTGTGGGAGGTGGAGGCAGGACGACCACTTGAGCCCAGGAGCTGGAGACAGCCTGGGCAACATGGCAAAACATGGCAAAAAACAGAAAAAATTAGCCACGCATGGTGGTACAAGCCTATAGTCCCAGCTACTTGGGAGGCTGAGGTTGGAAGATCACTTGAATCCAGGAGCAGAGGTTGCAGTGAGCTGAAATGGTGTCACTACACTCCAGCCTGGGTGACAGAGGGAGACTCTGTCTCACAAACAAAGAAATAAAATTGCTTCTGATGAAACTAATTGGTTAAGTGTAAATACAAATCACTAAACTTACAAATGATGTCTAACAGGGCAGCATCATTGAGACTTGCATGCTTTTCCTAAAAAAGAAAACAAATTAATTAGCCTAACTGTGGTGATAGGTTTGTTTGTATCCCTTTAAGACACATTTTAGGATTGGTTAGAACAGACTACTAGCATGTTCTCAGTACTTTACTGACAACCTGTCTCCCCTCTGTTCTCCTGTTAACCAATGGACATTCTTTCTGATTCATGTCTCAGTCCAGGCATTCAAAACCTTCTCTCACAATTTATTCCTCATTTATCACTTTTAATTTTTGGATTTTTTAAAAAAATGCACTTTATTGAACTATGATTATCATCCATTAAACTGTATATATTATTACAGTATACAATTTGCTAAGTTTTGACTTACGAATATACACACAAAACCATTACCACAATCAAGACAGTGACAAGATCCACCAGCACTGCCTCCCAAATGTTCTATTTTTTTTTTTTTTGAGACACAGTCTCACTGTTGCCCAGGAGTGCAAAGGTGCAATCTTCACCCACTGCAACCTTTGTCTCCCAGGTTCAAGTGATTCTCCTGACTCAGCCTCCCGAGTAGTTGGGATTTCAGGTATGCAGCACCACGCCCATCTAATTTTTGTAGTTTTAGTAGTAATGGAGTTTCACCACGTTGGCCAGGCTGTTCTCCTAACCCCAAATCATCTGCCTGCCTTGGCCTTCCAAAGTGCTGGGATTCCAGGCAGAGGCCACTGTGCCCAGTCTTGTGTCCCTTTCTTATCACCACCCCCTTCCACTCTACTTTGTCCCCGTGTCTCTACCTCCAACTGTTAGTCCTGAGGCAAACACTGATGTGCTTTCTGTCATTACAAATTTGTTTGCATTTTCTAGACGTTTATATGAATGGTAACATAAGTATGTACTTGTTTTTTTGGTCTGGCTTTTACTTAGCACAGTTATTTTGATATCATCCATATGTTAGCATCTATGAATACTTCATTCCTTTTTATTGCTGAGTATATCCACTGTATGGATGCATCACAATCTGTCCATCTGTTTACCTGCTGATGGACATTTGGGTTGTCTCCAGTTTGTGGCTTCTATGAATAATGTTGCTGTGAACATTAGTATACATGTCTTTATGTGGATCTGTTTTGGTTTTAAAACAATGCTACAATGCATCTTAATTTGTATAACTAAATACTTATCAATTATATTATTTACAAATACCTCCTTATTTTTTATTATTTTCTCATCATAAATTTCCATAAGTAGAATTGCTAGGTCAAAAAGTGTATTTATTTAAAAGTAAAGGAGGTCGGGCGCGGTGGCTGACGCCTGTAATCCCAGCACTTTGGAAGGCCAAGGCAAGTGGATCACTTGAGGTCAGGAGTTCGAGATCAACCTGGCCAACACGGCAAAACCTCATCTCTACTGAAAATACAAAAATTAGCCAGACATGGTGGTGCATGCCTGCAGTCCCAGCTACTCAGGAGGCTGAGGCAGGAGAATTGCTTGAATCTGGGAGGCAGAGGTTGCAGTAAGCCAAGATCACGTCACTGCACTCCAGCCTGGGTAACAGAGCAAGACTCTGTCTCAAAAATAAATAAAATAAAATAAAAATAAAATAAATAAAATAAACAAATTAAGTGAAGGAGGAACAAGTATACTGGAATAAGAAAATTATTTGAACTATGTTGTAACTTTTCTGATAGTCTGAAAACATTTTAAAACAAAAAGCAATTAAACAGATAAATACACATGAAAGACAGAGTCATTTCTTTGCAACTTTGCCAACACATCTGAGTGTTGTTGTCTTTTCATACTTGATAATTAGATAGGTTTAAAAAATACTGCAAAAATTACTGCTCCTTATTTAAATTTGTACTGAGTGTTTTTTTCTCCTATGGTATTCACTTTTTCTTTCTTATTGATTTGTAAGCATTCTTTTTCTGTTTTTTTCTGAAATGGAGCCTCGCTCTATTGCCAGGCTGGAATGTAGTGCTGTGATCTTGGCTCACTGCAACCTCTGCCTCCCAGGTTCAAGTGATTCTCCTACCTCAGCCCTCCTGGTAGCTGGGACTACAGGCATGCACCACCACACCCAGCTAATTTTTGTATTTTTAGTAGAGACAAGGTTTCACCGTGTTGGCCAGGATGGTCTTGATTTCTTGACCTCATGATCCACTGCCTCAATCTCCCAAAGTGCTGGGATTATAGCCGTGAGCCACCAGGCCGGCTGTTAGCATTCTTTTAAGATGAAAAGGTCAATTAAAAATTAGTTTATTTTCCACTGCAGTTGTATGTAGCCCTCATCCCTTCACTAGTAGTTTGGCAGCTACCTTACATTTCTTTTGGAGCAAGAAACAGAAGAAAGAAAAACCCAAAGGGGTAGCATTTTGTTCAAGACTCATCATTTTGAACACTGTTACCTCACACAGCCGAACCAAGTGCTGAACTAAAGATTCCTTTCTCTGCCGGAAATTTATAGTCTGCAGCTGATTTTCAGACAAAAAGTCCCAGGCTTTTAGGATTGTTATCAGTTCATTCATGGGGATTTTCAAGATGGTCCTCTTGATGAACTCAGCAACAGTCTCATCCATCCCTTTGGCACTTTAACGAAGCAAAAGCAGCACAACAAAGTATTAACCAAATACAAAACTTGTCTATCTTTATTTACATATATACAACACATGAAAAATAGAGATAGGGTCTCACTACCTTGCCCAGGTTGGTCTTGAACTCTTAGACTAAAGCAATCCACCCATCCTCAACCTGCCAAAGTGCTGGAATTATAGGCATGAGCCACCGCACCCGGCCATTAGCATCATATTTAGCTGGGATTTTGATTTGTAGGTCAAACACCTAAATCTTTACCCTTTTCCAGCCATTCTGCAGTGTTTCAGCGTGAGCATTTATTTTCTCCTTCAATTGTACATTTACATGCTTTAGAGTTTAAAAATTGGTGCTGTCTCTCGTTTCTTGGCTAGAGTATTTCAATCTTTTGATGGTGATGATCTATAAATCATTCATTCATTCACTGATTCATGTAACCCCTTACTTCTGCATACCAGGCACTTTTCTAGGCACTGGGGATAGATTATGTCTTTGGCCAAAAAAACAATTATCTGTTCCAGTATGGCACATCCATTCTAGTGGAGGAGAGAAACAACAGGGAAACCACAAACTATGTTAAAAGTGAGGAGTGCTGGAGAAAATGGAATCAAGTTAGACAGGCTGAGTTGAGGGTGGGAGTGCTGGAGAGAATACGACTTTGGGACAATCCTTGCTGGAGAAGGAGCCATGTGTGGACGAGCTTTCCAGGCAGAAGGAACACCATCTGCAAAAGTCCTGAGGCAAGAGCCTGCTTGGGGCCTTCAAGGAAAAGGGACGGGGGTGGCCTCCAGTGAGGGGACAGCAGGGAGAGGAAGGCGGAATAGACGAGGTGAGATCAGGGATCGTGGAGGGCCCTGAAAGCCACTCGGGATCACTGCTTGTTTTACTCTGCAAGGTGCTGAGCACAGGCTGGACACGCTCTTGTTTAGCTTTTCTACCAGGATCAATCTGGCTACTGTACTGACAACGCAGTCTAAGGAGGCGAGGGCAGAAGCTGGAGGTTAGCGAGGCAGGGGAAGAGGTCAGATTCTGGATACCCTTTTCAGAGGGAACTCATGGGTCGGCCACTGCACGCGGCCTTTTTTTTTTTTTTTTTAGATGGAGTCTTGCTCTGTCACCCTGGCTGGGGTGTACCGCTGACAGCCTCTGCCTCCTAGGTTCAAATGATTCTTCTGCCTCAGCCTCTGGAGTAGCTGGGATTACAGGTGTGCACCACAATGCGCAGCTACTTTTAGTAAAGATGCGGTTTCACCATGTTGGTCAGGCTGTTCTTGAACTCCTGGTCTCAAGTGGTTCTCCTGTCTTGGCCTCCAATAGTGCTGCGATTACAGGCGTGAGCCACTGTACCAGGCTATCCACTACTAATTGCCTTTACAGAACTATCTTTTTTCTTGTTTCTAAAATTGAGCTTTAGGGCAGGACTGTGTTTTTATTCACAGCTATGCTCCTAGAATCCAGAACTTCGTCACTATAGTCAATTAAGTCTAGTCAGCCCAAGCACAGTCTAATGCGTCCTTGATAAATACTTGTGGAATGAATGCCTGAGGAGACAACCTGGGCTGACTGGGATTCCGCAGTAAGTGAAACATCAAGTCAACACTTCTCCCATTAAGAACACAGGCGAGGGGTCAGGTGCTGTGTATCACTTGAGGTCAGGCATTCCAGACCACCCTGGCCAACATGGTGAAACCCTGTCTCTACTAAAAATACAAAAATTAGCCGGGCGTCGTGATGCACACCTGTAGTCCCAGCTACTCGGGAGGCTGAGGCAGGAGAATCGCTTGAATCCGGGAGGAGATTGTAGTGAGCCGAGATAGAGATCGCGCCACTGCCCCCCAGCATGGACGAGAGTGAGACTTCATCTCAAACAACAAGAACAACAACAAAAACGCACACACACAGGCAAGGCTAGGCTGTTAAAATGAAGATTCCTGGGCCCTATCGAGTTAAACTGTGAGGATGGGACATGGAGGGCTGGAGATGTAGCATCTTTTAAAGAGCACATCAGATAATTCTGTGTAAAGTTTGCAGAACGCCTGTCTAAAGAAATTTGGAGCGCACTCAATCTCACCAATGAAGTTGGAAATCCCTTCAGTAAATGTTTACCCCACTGACAATTTTTTAACTTTTTTTTTTTTTTTTTTTTTTTTTGAGACGGAGTTTTGTTCTTGTTACCTAGGCTGCAGTGCAATGGCGTGATCTTGGCTCACCGCAACCTCCGCCTCCTGGGTTCAAGCAATTCTCTTGCCTCAGCCTCCCGAGTAGCTGAGACTACAGGCATGCGCCACCATGCCCAGCTAATTTTTGTATTTTTTTTTTTTTTTTTTTAGTAGAGACGGGGTTTCACCATGTTGACCACGATGGTCTCGATCTCTTGACCTCGCGATCCACCCGCCTCGGCCTTCCAAAGTACTGGGATTATAGGCGTGAGCCACCGCGCCAGGCTGTTTTTTTTTGAGTCAGAGTCTCACTCTGTCGCCCAGGCTGGAGTGCAGTGGTGCGATCTCGGCTCACTGAAACCCCCGCCTCCCCAGTACAAGCGATATTCCTGCCTCAGCCTCCCAAGCAGCTGGGATTACAGGCACTTGCTACCACGCCCGGCTAATTTTTGTAGTTTTAGTGGAGACGGGGGTTTCACCATATTGGTCAGGCTGGTCTCGAACTCCTGACCTCTAAGGTGATCCGCCTGCCTCGCCCTCCCAAAGTGATGCGATTACAGGCGTGAACTGCCGCGCCAGGCCCCATTTTCAAACTTTCTTTGTACTTCCTAGCGCTTTAGTGCCTGGCATAAAGTAGATGCTCAAGATTTGTGGAACGCATGATCAAAAAGATCCCTTTTAAACAGGCAGCGCGAGGAGCAACCCAAGAGGCTACAAGCCGAAAAACGACGGAAGCCGAGGTGGCATGAAAGCAAAACCCCAACGCTGGGCCAGGCAACCCAGAGAGAGCTGAGTCCCGGGTCACATGACCACACGGCCGGCCTCTGACGCAGACACACGCTTACGTAGGGCTCAGCCCCGCCCCACCCCGGGCGTGGTGACGCCACGGCTGGCCCAGCGTCACCGCCCCCTTTCACTTAGGCCCCTACCGCAGTTCCCCCGAGCCCGAGACCCAGCGCCAATCCTGCGCCTCACAACGTGCGGCAAGCCCGAGAAAGCGGACCCCGAGACCTGGGATCTGGCTTCCTCAACGCTCTGGCACCCTCCGGGGCCCGCTCCACTGCCGCCCGGGGCTCTCTTACCGACCCACATCTCCTGCCGTCTCACTCCTCAGCTACCGTTCCCGCCCGTCGCGCCTTCAAAGCTACCAATTGCAGTTCCCACTGCCTCCAAGCCCCGCCCACCGGAGCTCAAGCTTCGGGCAGCGTCTTGGGCACAGGGAACTGCACGGGGGAGCGACTGAAGCGAAGCTCGCCGAGCTCCCGCGCCGCTCTTCTTAGAAGGGTACAGTCGTGCACCAGTAGTGGACTTGCACTTAGGCTCCTCGAGCCTGGCTTGTGTGCTCCGCTTGTGGCTTAGACGCTCGGCAGGGTACGCCGTGCCTCAGTGGACTCGCTGTGCTTCCCCCTAGAGCGAACAAAAATGGGCCCGTCCAGGCCTGGCGGCGCAGGCGCCTTGAGGCCCGCGGGCGGCGGGGGCGGGGAGCCAGGACACCGGTGGAGTGCGTCCCCGGCGTTCGTCGCTTGGGGAGCGGTTCAGTCCTCGACTCTCTGGTTGCCTGCCTTCGGGTCGGGCGTCTTCGTCGGTGACTTTCGCTTCGGCCCTGCCGGTGTGGCCGCGAGTCGGGTGAGTCTCGGGAGTCCGGGCGGTTCCGAGCGCGGCCTGTCGTCCCTCCTCAGGTTCCCTGACGGCGCGCCCTGCCGAGCCCCTTCCTGCCGCCCGCCGGCCCGGGAAGTTAGGACCAGGGAGACCCGGCTCCCTCAGGCCCACAGCCGGGCTCCTGCGCTGGGGAGGCTGCGGGTGGAGTGCCTGGGTGCTCGCTGGGGGATACGCTGGTGGCTGAGACAGGCCCTGGGTGTCATTCGGGGTTCGAATCCGCCTGGCGCTCACTGGCTGACCTTGGCCGCGCTCCTCCCCTCCCGGAGCCGAGGCTTCTTCGCTTGTAAAACGGGCAAAACCCATCGCTCGGCTTTGAGGAATGGAGCCCTCAACACAGAGTTTGACACGATGAGCGCTCAATAAACTGTTATTGTTGTTTAAATAGCAGTTGACAGTTTGCGGGTAGAAAACGGGAGTCGTTCAAACACTTTTCAGCTGCAGTGAAAGTTGTCTCTGTGATGTGAGAACCCACTTAGAGCCCCGTCAGTACGCTTCACTCTTGTTTCCCCTTCAGTACTTTTTTTCCATGAAAGTAAGACATTGACCTTTCTTCTCTTGGGTTTAAAGATCACGGGTTTTATGTAGAGTCTTAAGTAAATTGGTTTTGGAAGTCTTCCTTTAAACTTTAAAGGCGTGGAAGTTTTTGAGGGCAAAGGAATTACGTTGTGATGCCTTTCATATCTCCTCTTCATTCGTGGCTTTTGCACTTGTTGAGTTGATTTAAAATGAGTTTATTTTCCATCCTTTTCCTACTGCGTTGAGGCCTGAACTAGTTGTCAGTTTCTCAGACTCATGAATTCAACATTCAGCAAACATCGATTGGGCATTTACCACGTGCTTTTGCAAGAATGTTCCCTCACGTGCCCCTGCCTTCCTTGAGATGTATGGACGATATTTTCCTCTGAAATTCACGGAGCAGAGTGCTTTGGTAATGTTTGTTCAGGGAAAGCTGCGAGGGCGCATTCACTCAAACTCTGGTGGAAGTCAGAGTAGTTAAACCCTCCTCCCCAGGCCGCCCCTGGAGTCACTCCCAGGAGCAGCCTGGCACGGAGTCTACATTGCCAGCGCCAGTCTCTTTCTCAGTGGCACCGGTTTAGAATTGGTGCCTTTGCGCTAAGTCGAAGTGGGTAGGGGAGGCAGTCCCCGACTGTCTGCTATCTCTCCTGCGGTATGGCTCATAGTTAGACTCATAGTTTGAAAAGTTGAAAAATAATTATTTAACTGATAGTAGGGCCGAAATGTAGGCTTTAAAATATATGTTTGTTATTTTATATATTTTAATTTATTTTATTTTGAGATGGAGTTTTGCTGTGTTGCCCAGGCTGGAGTGCAGTGGCGTGATCCCGGCCCATTGCAACCTCCACCTCCTGGGTTCAAGTGATTCTCGTGCGTCAGCCTCCCGAGCAGCTGGGATTACAGGCCGGCTATCTGTGGATAGTTTTTTCTGGAGAACAGATTCTTCAGACTCTGAACAACGGGTCTGGCTTTGTTTTTTGCTTCTTTTGAAATAACGTTAGAAATTACAACTGTAGTGTAAATTTCCTGTACAGCCGCACAATAGGAAAATCTTTCGAAAGAAAGCCAACTGGCATTAAAATACAGGGTTTTCCCCCGTGATTATAGATTTGTTGAAGTGCGTTATTAGAATGCTTACCCATTTTCTTTATACTAGAGTTAATATAGCGCCCGCTCTTGATTGATTTATTTTCTAAAATTGTGCCACCTGGTGGTTGAAGTCTGCCATAGAATAGTCTTGAGGAAAATTGAACTTCAGAGTCAGTAGACTAAGTGAAGGAGTGAGCTATAATTTTTATATCTCGACTAAGAGTACCCTACGGCCTTCTACGCTCCCAGCTTACTCCCTAGGAAAAGTTAAAATTGCTCTTACCCTTATGGGTTTCGTAGCCAGCTATCAAAACAAATCTGACAGGTGAAAAAAAAAATTTTTTTTCACAGAACTGCCCCAGGGCAGACAGCTGAAAATTTTAAGGAGTTTCATTGAACTCTTTTGGTATCCTTATCTGCATATACACAGTGCGTGGGGCTGGATTGAAGAGGGAGGTGGTGAAAAAGTTTACCCTTTTGATGTTTTCTTAAATACCAACGTAAAGATGAGACTGAGACTCTTTGGTAGAAGTCACAGTAGTTAAGCCCTTCTCCCCAGGAAGCCCCTGGGGTCACTCCCAGGAGCAGCCTGGCATGGGGTCTACACTGGAACTGAATATTAGTCTATTCAAATAATGACAGTTTGAATGGAATTCATCCCTCTCTCTGTCTCACTGGAAACATCCAAGAATGAGGTCTTATGTTCCTTTCGCGTTTGTTTCAACCATGCTGCCAATGTTCATAATTATTAATTTTTTTTGAAATAGAGTCTCACTTTGTAGCCCAGGCTGGAGTGCAAGTGGTGTAATCTCAGCTCAGTGCAGCGTCTGCCTGCAGGGTTAAAACGATTCTTCTGCCCTAGACTTCCAATTAGCTGGGATTACAGGCCCCCCCACCACCATGCCCGGCTAATATTTGTGTTTTTAGTAGAGACTGGGTTTCACCATGTTGGCCAGGTTGGTATAGAACTCCTGACCTCAAGTGATCCACCTGCCTTCGCCCCCCAAAGTGCTGAGATTACAGGAGTGAGCCACCGCTTCTGGCTTCTCATAAGTTACTTTAAACCCATGTCGTCACTGAGATGCAGGTCAAAAGCAAATTCCATTTTATGGAAAAGAGACTTAGATCTCAGATTAGTAACCAAAATGACATAACTTGTCAATAGCTGACTAGTGACAAGTACAACACTATTCTCTTTTTTTGTGTGTCTAGACAGACCCAGTATTTCCAATTTTACAGGATTTTACATCGACTTATTTGGAACCTTGGCCTAGAATTACTGGCTATTGAACTTGTTATCAACCAGAAGCTCTTTGGGAAAGTTTTTTCCATCTTAATTTATTTCATTCACAAACTGCTGTAAAGTCATGTCTTTCCTATTTTGAACATGGATTAAAAATCTGTCATGGTTAGAGATTATGTTGGGTTGTAACTTTGCAGTTAACTACTGTGTGACCTTGGGCTTAGTTTTTGAAAATGTGAGCAGTGCATATTTTCACTTACAGAAAGATAATTTCTCATGGTTCAACTGAATTTATAAGGCTACCTGTTTCATAGGGTTGTTGCATTCTAAGACTTGTGCTTAGCACTTGGCAAGTGGTCATCAAATTATTTTCTTAATAATGTTGATATATTCTTAGGACTTGGAAGAAATTTTAAGAATAAGAATATGGAATATGTATTTAGGTTTTCTTCAGTTCATAAAATATATTTTGAGTTAAATTGTATTACTAGAATAGTCTTTTAAAGGTGAGTACTGGAAGACATCAGCACTTAATTACATGTGTTCTGAAAGAACAATGCCATTGTTTTACAGTTGTGCCTTGTACATTACACCCAAGAATATAGCAGTACATTTGTGTACACACCAACATCTAGGCAAAACCAGGTGATACAAAGTGGTTGGAAGGGAGCATAGGTGACAGGCAGATAGAGGGCAAGGGGAGAAAGAAGCTATTTAGCTAAAAATACGTGGTAGAGGAAAGAAAGGAGTGATGAGGAAGGCAAGGAATCTGTTGGATAAGGGATAAGGTGAGTGTTTAGAGCTTTAGGTTAAGTAGTAGCATCTTACCAAGAATAGGAAAAGGAAATGAAATTAAACCATTTTATTCTTTGACATAGTCATTTAGGCTAAGAAAGTAGAAGGGCCTCAAAAATACATGCAATTATTATTTGTCAATTAAAAATGCAAATAATGAGAATTAGAAGGGAAGGTGTTTTATTGGTACCTACTGTTAGACGCATCACTCAAGTAAAGATACCACCAGACAGGCTTTGTATGAGCAACATGGCTGTTTATTTACCCAGGTGCGTGTGGGCTGAGTCCGAAAAGAGAGTCAGCAGAGGGCAGTTGGATAAGAGCTGGTTTTATAGGTTGGGGCAAGTGGTCAGTTAAAAGTGGTAATGTATTTTAGAGAGGGGAAGGGCATCACGGGATGCATGACCACAAGGGTAGAGGTCAGTAATCTATCTTCAGGAGGGGACGGGTGTCACAGGATGCTTAATCACAAGGGTAGGGGTCATCTATTACAAACAGGCATTATCATAAGGTTAGGGGGTTACTGGTTGCAAGCAGAGGGGAGGGTGAGGCAAATTACATAGTTACAGGGGTTGGGGCCCTGAGAAACCCAATGTCCAGGCGGTAAATTCTGTGAGGATGAGCAGAACAATGGTTGCAGGTTTCAGGTTTCAGGGGGCGAGCCGTTAGTTGAGGTTGGAACAAGTTGTTTCTCTTCTTTCTATGGCCACCTGGTGACTTGTGGCATTTCAGACTTTCTGGCCCCTGGGGACCATCCAGAGGTGTACATGCAGGTTACTCAGGCTATAATGGCCAGGCTTGGACTTGGAGGCCTGACATTCTCATCTTTTTATATCTGTATAAAGAAAAAAGTTAGAGAAGTGAGTAGGGGCGATGTTTCTCATGGCTTCTTTA